TCTTTTGGGGTCTCTCCCGCCTGTATTTGCCTGTGGTTGCCTGAAACCCACTTTATATGGGGTGTTCCTCCTACCACTCTACCTGCATTCTCTGATGTCTGATATCATGGCTGAGCTCATCGAGCAGCCCCTCTGCTCACTCCTCTGCCCGCTTACCAGTGTTCATCCTGCTTATGGGAATGTCGCCTCTTCCAGCTCCTGATCCTCATCAGCTGAAATTGTCCATGGGATTTAAAAGTGTGGGGACAGAGTGATGGTGGAAGTCAGAAATGATCGTGCTGATGGGCGAAGGCTGGAGCAGGGGATCAGAGCAGGGACGGCTGGGAGGATTTCCTCCTTTTCCCTCCTCATCCTCATGTCTTCTTCTCACCCTGCACAGTTGCCTTCATCATTGACCTGGACAGTGACACGGCCGACAAGTTCATCCAGCTGTTTGGCACCAAAGGGGCCAAGCGGGTGCTGTGCCCCATCCCCTACCCGGAGAGCCCGACCCGCTTCATCAACTGCGAGCAGGTGCTGGGGGTGAACCTCATGAATCGGGGCAACTACTACTGGGAGGTGGAGCTGATCGACGGCTGGGTCAGCATCGGCGTCATCGCCGAGGACTTCGACCCCCGGGAGTCCTACAACCGCGGCCGGCTGGGGCGGAACGAGAAGTCCTGCTGCCTGCAGTGGAACGGACAGAACTACGTGGCCTGGTTTGGTGGCTTTGAGTCCGTCATCCAGCAGCCATTTTTCCACACGATTGGGGTCTTCCTGGAGTATTCGGAGAAGGCGCTGACCTTCTACGGAGTCAAGGACTCCAAGATGACCTGCCTGCAGCAGCTCAAGGTCTCTCATTTTGCCAAGGGTCAGTTTGACCCATTCCAGAACAAGATCAACCACCAGTTCGCCTCTCTTTTCTTGTGCAAGCTGAAACCAGCCTTCTTCCTGGAGAGCGTCGATGCCCACCTGCAGATCGGACCGCTGAAGAAAGATTGTGTTTCGGTGCTAAAGCGTAGGTAACTGCGCGGAGAGCGGGAGCACGGGAAGACCCAGAAGAGTCTCCTGCAGTGTATCGCCGCCATCACGGTGTCTCTTTGGTAGCCTTGTATTTCTCTGTGGCAGCCCTCCCTCCTCACTCCGTGCTGTTGGTGGCCCCGGGGGTGGATGAAGCCGTCCTGCGGGCAGAGCTGCGGGCTGGGAGCCAGGAGGGAGCTGGATCTGAGCGCCGGCTCTGCCGCTGGGCTGCTGAGCGAACCTGGGCCAGTCTCTGCCGCTGCTCCCTGTCCCTCAGCTTCCCTTTCTGGATGTCAGGGACTGCGATACAGCCTTTCTTGGTAAAGCACGTCGCTTAGGAGAAGTGCCATGTAGTTCTGAAGCTGTATCTGGGCCAGCTGCCAGGCTGCCCTGTTCCTCTCCCGCCTATCTGCTCACGCTGTCCTGGTGACTTGCACAGATGCTCTGCTTTGTGCCTTATCTCAGTCTCTGCGTCGCTGCTGCTGCTTTTTAAAGCGCTGGCTCATCAACACCTTCCCCACGCTCCTTATGAAGTGCCTTTGAAGCTGCAAGCCCAGCGTGGGCTGGGTGAACCCCCAAAGCAGATGTGGTCGCTCCCCTGGTGCCGCATCGCCGTGGTGCCTTGGGGTGGGTGGGCAGGGTGCTCCGGGGCG